GTAGGTAAAAAATCTTTGCCGACGGAAAATATAATTTTAGCAACGGAAATTTTTCGTTGCTAAACCTTTGGCGACAGATTTTTAGCGACGGAAAATTTCCGTCGCTAAAAAAGGCCTGGGTGAAATTTTTTGGGCGCGGGCGTCCAAATTTTTTGGGCAGCCCGGCCCGATATTTCCCCCACTCCTTCTCTCCTCATCATCCCCCACACTGTCTCAATCCCCCCTCCCCTCTCTTTTCATTTCCCCCCTCCCCTCTTGGATCTCGTTCTCAACGCCCCTTCTCCAGCCGGCCGCGCCTTCCTCCACTCCCGCCGCCTTGCTCTCTCAAGGTACGTCTCTCTCTCTCTCTGCCCCTCAATCTCTCTTTCTCTCCCTCCCCCTCTCATCTCTCCCCCTCTATCCCTTCTCTGCTCGTCGGCCGACGCCGGCAGCCGGTAGCCATTCAGCTGCCGGCCGCTCAGCGTCGGCCGACGAGAGAGAGGGAGAGAGGGGGAGAGATTAATTGAGAGGGGGGAGGGAGAGAAAGAGAGATTTCTTAATTTTTGTAATTATAGTTTAATTTTTACAATTATAGTTTAATTTTTACAATTAGAGTTTATTTTTGGAAAAACAAAAAATTTGTGCAAAAAACCCAAACCCTAATAAAAAATATTCATCTTGATGAAATTATAATATAAAAAAATTAAATTTAATACGGGTTATGGTTAGGGTTAGGGTTAGGTGAGGGTTAGGGTTAGGGTTCGGTGAGGGTTAGGGTTAGAGTTAGGATTAGGGTTTGGGTTAGGATTAGGGTTAGTATTAGGGTTAAGTGAGGGTGGGGGTGATGGTGAGAGTGAGGGTTAGGGTTAGGGTTAGGGTTAGGATTAGGGTTAGGTGGGGGTTAGGGTGAGGGGTGGGGGTGAGGGTGAGGGTGAGTTTGAGGGTTAAGGTTATGGTTAGAGTTAGTGGAGGGTGAGGGTGAGTGTGAGTTTGAGGGTTAAAGTTATGGTTTGAGTTAGTGGAGGGTGAAGGTGAGGTTGAGGGTTAGGGTTAGGTGAGGGTAGGGGTGATGGTGAGGTTGAGGTTGAGGGTTAGGTGAGGGTTTGGGTTTGGGTTAGGATTAGGGTTAGATGAGGGTTATGGTTAGGGTTAGGGTTAGGTGAGGGTGAGGAGTGGAGGTGGGAGTGAGGGTGAGGGTTAGGGTTAGGGTTAGGGTGAGTTCAAGGGTGAGGTTGAGGGTTAGGATTAGGGTTAGGGTGAGGGTGGGGGTGAGGTTGAGGGTGGGGGTGAGGTTGAGGGTTAGGGTTAGGCGAGGGTTAGGGTTAGTATTAGGGTTAAGTGAGGGTTAGGGTTAGTGTTAGGTGAGGGTGAGGTTGAGGGTTAAGGCTAGGGTTAGGGTTAGGGGAGGGTTTGGGTTTGGGTTAGGATTAGGGTTAGATGAGGGTTATGGTTAGGGTTAGGGTTAGGTGAGGGTGAGGAGTGGAGGTAGGGGTGAGGGTTAGGGTGAGGGTGAGGGTTAGGGTGAGTTCAGGGGTGAGGTTGAGGGTTAGGATTAGGGTTAGGGTGAGGGTGGGGGTGAGGTTGAGGGTTAGGGTTAGGCGAGGGTTAGGGTTAGTATTAGGGTTAAGTGAAGGTTAGGGTTAGGGTTAGGTGAGGGTGAGGTTGAGGGTTAAGGCTAGGGTTAAGGTTAGGGGAGGGTTTGGGTTTGGGTTAGGATTAGGGTTAGATGAGGGTTATGGTTAGGGTTAGGTGAGGGTGAGGAGTGGAGGTGGGGGTGAGGGTGAGGGTGAGGGTTAGGGTTAGGGTGAGTTCAGGGGTGAGGTTGAGGGTTAGGATTAGGGTTAGGGTGAGGGTGGGGGTGAGGTTGAGGGTTAGGGTTAGGCGAGGGTTAGGGTTAGGTGAGGGTTAAGGTGAGGGTTAGGGTGAGGGTTAGGCGAGGGTTAAGGCTAGGGTTAGGGTTAGGGGAGGGTGAAGGTGAGGGTTAGGGTGAGGGTTAGGTGAGGGTGAGGTTGAGGGTTAAGGTTAGGGTTAGGGTTAGGGTTAGGAGAGGGTGAAGGTGAGGGTGAGGGTTAGGGTTAGGTGAGGGTGCTGGTGGGGGTGATGGTGAGATTGAGGTTTAGGGTTAGGGTTAGGGTTAGGGTTAGGAGAGGGTTAAGGTGAGGGTTAGGGTAGGGTTAGGTTAGGGTAGGGTTATGTGATTGGTTTGTGGGGGGTTTTGTCGTGGTGGGGGGGAGGAATGGAGATTGGGTGTTAATGGTGGTGATGGTAGTGATGGAGGGGGAGGGGGTGTGTAGAGTATGATTGGTTGGTGGGTGGGGGCTTTGATCGTGGTTGAGGATGAGGAGTGGGGATTTTGTTGTGGTGGTGGTTGAGGGGGAGGGGTAGGGCGAGGGGGAGTGTTGTTGGTTGGTGGGTGAGGTTGGAGGATTTGTGGTGGTGTTGTTGTGTTGTGGTGTGATGTGTGGTGATGTGTTGTGCAGTGTAGTGTTGTGTTGTGTTGTGATGGTGTAGTGTTGTTGTGTTGTGGTGTTGTGTTGTTGTGTTGTGATGGTGTAGTGTTGTTGTGTTGTGGTGTTGTGGTGTTGTGTTGTGATGTTGTGCTGTTGTGTTGTGATGTTGTGGTGTTGTGTTGTAGTATATTTATATTTGTACTCTTATTAACGTTTACACACACTTGTTAATATTTGATTTATATTTACAGGCCGGGACTTCTTCACAAGGTGCAGCCGGGGGTAGTCATAATGTGGCTGGTGTTGAGGATGAGGATGATGATGATGATCAGGAGGATTGATTGTCCCTAATATAACTTTGAAAACAATTTCTTGTGTTGTATAAACAATATTTATTATGTACCTGTCGAGAAACTTTTACTTGCTTTTATTGAATTAAATGTGTGATATATGCGTGAGATGTGATATTTGCGTAAGATTGAAACTTTCTTCTGCTGATTGAACAGGTTTTTAAAAATTATTATCGATATTGTACAGGGTTTTTTTAATTTTCAAAATATTTTCCAAATTTCTTTTTTTTACATTTTTAGTGACGAAAATTTCGTTGCTAAAAACAATTTTAGCAACGGAAATTCTGTCACTAAAGTACTATTTAGCGACGGAAAACATGTACGAAATCATATCTGGACAATATTAAAAAACAATAGCGACGGTTTTTCCGTCGCTAATAAAGTTTTAGAGACGGATAATCCGTCGCTAAAGAAATATTAGCGACGGAAAATCCGTCGCAATTGTTTTTTTAATTTTTTATTTTTTTAAAATAGCGACCATTTTACCGTCGCTAATAAACCGTCGCTAAAATTTAGCGACGGAATGTCCGTCGCTAAAAGTGTTTTTAGGCACCCCTGTTATAGCGTCGAAATTTTAGCGACGGAACTTTATTTTTTCCGTCGCTAAAAGAAAAACGACTTATAGCGACGGATTTTTTCGTCGCTAAAAGTTGAAAATCCAGTAGTGAGTGGTGGAGACTTTCTGGGAACTTCTCTACCACTACCACATTTTCCTGAACACCATCGGGGCGGTAGATCATAAAGGCAAGAAGAAGAGGACCCCAGGGATCAGCCACAAGAAGTAGGCTGATTACTCTTCCAACATACTGATGATAAAAAGTTACTCATCCTGCCATTGTACCCTTATGATCAAGCGATGGTAGAGAAGAGGATAGCTAAAAGTGGGGGTCCGAAAACTCTCGAATATGATGAAGGAGAGTTTAAAGTGGGGACGACTCTTGCATAGTTCCACCACCAAGCCAAGTTTTTGATATCTGTCAAGGCTCTGTTTGCCGGATATTTGATGTTGTGGCTGAAAAGATGTGTGGTTCCCACACACTTTTTTGAGGCGATCCATGTGGAGGTCGTTTATGCTGTAGTTCATTTGGCATACGGACAATCATATGCGTTGGTGCCGGCAATGGTGGCGTGCATACAGAGTGGTCTACGGACCTTTGCGACACAGTTCTGCAGAGTGTCGTTTACTGATGAGGAGGAAGGAGAAGAAGTTGCTAAAACTCCCAACCCTCGCATCAGCTTGCCATACACATATTTGATGGCATGGTTTGTACAGCACTATGAGTGCTTGATAAACGCACCAGTGATACGTCAGGAAGGGTGGCTGGTCCCTTTCGTTCAGAGGTTGGAGAAGTCAACATGGAAGTTCAAATACATTATTGAAATGAGAAAGGCATTGTCCTTTTTCAGTAATTATGGCTTCTACCGGTGCTTTCCCTTCTTTGAGGAGGGAGGATATGGTGATTCCCTCCGGGACGTGCCAACCGGGAATAATTCCACCGCCCTATCCATGGGCGGCTTTCGTTTGCTCGTGAACATTCGTCTGAGTTATCACATTCTTTGGACAGGCTCCTTGTGCTACATGGAGCCTTATCTCCCTAGTCGTTTTTCCCACCAGTTTGGGTATGACCAATTGTACGTGGGGAATATCAACCCCCAGCTGCATCATGAGTGAGGGTTAGTTGACGGAGCACATGGGTGCTTTTGGACCCACGTGGGATGCATCAACGCACAGTTTAACTTGCCACTCAGGGATCGTGCCCTCCATCTTACCCTCACCTACTATAAGTGGTATCGGAGTGCGAGCGTAGCTCTGGAGGGGTTCGATCCCCATGAATCCTGTCTGACGGTGCAAAGGCATCGATCCAGAGCCATCCCCCGTACACCGAGGCGAGGAGGTCCCCGTCAATTTGAAGAGACTGAAGTAGTTCTTACTGAAGAGGCTACCCGAGAAGCTTAGGAAGATGAGTGGTACGGGGGGTTCGAGAATTTCCTCCCAACCCAATATGATCCCTCTCGGCCAGGATTCAGCAGAGAGAGAGAGGCTACTTCAGAGTTAGCTAGAGTTGAAGAGCGCCCAGAACAAACCAAGGGCTTCATTACTGACCGAATGCTGACCCCGGCCTTTGCTTCCGGCCTCTCAATTTTGCTGAAACGTCAATGAAAGGCGGACGTTAGAACTTCAGATGAAGAGGTGGCTAAGAAGGCTCACCACGATGAGGTGATGATAACTGGTGAAGCGGGGGAGGGTCACGCCATACCTAATCCTAAACCAGGCTCGGATGTGACTCCTCACAATGTCGCGATTCCCTCGACCGTCAAGGCCAAAGGTGTTCCAACGATCATCCCGGGAGGTATAAATTCTTTTTGTCCTTCACTTAACCATAAAGTTGAACCTGATCATCTCATGTTTGTTCCGACTTTACGTAGGTGAGATGGTTGTTACTACCATCATCTCTTTTGAAGACGAAGAGTGGGAGAAAGAGGACGTCGATCACCTTGGCGGTAGTGATGTCGCCGTGGATGATGCCTTCCAGGATCATGATAAGGATGGGTCAGCTTTTCCTCCTCACGAACTGGCCTTGGAGGTTACAACTCCCATCTCAAGTATTCTGAATTGTTAACTTTTGATTCTATGGGTGCCATTTTAGTATATAGACTAATGCATGCTCTGTCAATCTTGTTGCAGTCGGGATGACTCCCGGGGCCATCAACCAATGGACCAGTTTGCTGACCTACATGCATGCGGGGGGCAACGTCTTACCTTGTCCACATGGTGCTTGACAAGTGAGCTCCCCTATCAAGCCTCCAGTTCTTACTGAAGGGGTGCTGGTTCGAGAAGAGGAGGCACCGATTCTGGGAGAGGAGGGGTCGCTTCTAGGAGAGGCTTCCCTTCAGGAAGGGAAGTCGTCAATTCGAGAAGAGGCTTCCCTTCAAGAAGAGGAGTCATTGATTCGAGAAGAGGCACCAGCTCAGGTAGAGGAGGCGCCGATTCAGGAAGAGGCACTTACTCAGGGAGAGGAGGTGCCGATTCAAGAAGAGGCACCTACTGAGGGAGAGGAGGCATCGATTCAAGAAGAGGCACCTACTCAGGAAGAGGAGGCATTGATTCAAGAAGAGGCACCTACTCAGGAAGAGGGGTCCCCGACTCAAGAAGAGGTGCCTATTCAGGGAAAGGGAGCCTCACACCAAACAGCAGCACTGACCGGAGGAGACGCGATGATTCAAGACGAGGAGGCCGCCCAAGGAGAACCATTGACTCAGAGGATCGTCGTAACCGGCATTCAGGTCCAAGTTCAGCCTGCTAAAGGTGCTCCTCTTTCTCTTGCCTCTCGTTTCAACAAAAGAGTACTGGAGCGGACCATCGAGAATTTTCAAACCTGCCTCCGCGATAGTATCCAAATAGTTTTAGATGAAGGATGTTCTTTTGACCAGTTTAGGCCATACTTGCACATGTATCTGGACGAACCACGCATGCTGACAGGTGGAGATGCGGCTTCTCCCTTCCAAAGGTGCTTGAAAGCGGGGGAAAGGGATGTCCAGGAATTACTCGCCCTTTGTTCCAAGGATACGGTTGCCCTGGCTGCTAAAAATGGTCAATCTATTATGAAGGAACATGAGCAATGCCTAGATGAGACCATGCCCGAGGAGACCAGACTGTTGAAAGAGGTAGAGAGAGCTACTGTCGCAGGCGAGGTGGTGGTCAAGGAGCATTGGAAGACTAGCACCTTTTTGGCTGATGCGACCCAATCCATATCAAATGCAAAGCATACCATCGGCAAGCTGCAATCTTTTTTGGTTGTTATGGAGTCAACTCATGAACAGATGTTGAAATACCTAGAGGAGATTAAGAATCGGCAGCAGCTGATTATAGCCGAATTCGAGGAGAAAAGTCAAGATCTAGAAGCGGTGAGGCATAAGCTCCACAACACCGTCTCACTCACCGAGGAAGACATTCATCAGAAGGTCCTCACCACCTTGGATCGGGAGCACAAGAGAAGGATTCGAGATGTCGAGTCGCGATTGAAGAGGTTTTGACCTGGCTCAGATATATCTTTTTAAGCTTTGTTCGAAACTTTATTTGAATGTATTGTCAAAACTCTTCTAATGAATGAAATTATGTTTTCGTTGTCTGTTTATTTCTTTAAACGCTTTGTGTGCATATATTTTTTTTATTGACCAACACTTAGGATTTTTAGCAAACCCTCAGCTATCAACGGGTTTGATTTGCCTTTACCGATTGCCTTTTGAATTGGGCTAGCCGTACTATTCTCCTCAGTATGATGAGTTGTTAGAAAGTTTTTTTAGTCTTAATGCTAAAATTTCTTTCCTACCCTTAGCCGTAGGTCTTCTTGTGCTTCTGTTGTAGAGAGACATCGAAGTAGCATGTCGTAGTACGACCTACGATACAATACCTTTGTGGTTGCATCGTAGTAGAATCTCGATGCGCATCTGTGAACAGAATCTCGCTCATTTACATATTTGGGTAGTATGTTGTATAAGACACAGTCGATGATTAGGAAATGCCAATCTCTCGGCTTGAGTTGTCCCGTAGCCTGGTGAGTTGTATTGGTTTCTAGAACATGCTCTGGTCGGAAGAGTTGTCGGCTTGTAACGGTGATGCGCTGACTGGTTCCCACCAGTTAAGCTAGGTTGGCTATGAATGATGCGAAGGCTGTTGGCCTTATTGTTTTGATGATGTTTAACAAACAATTTACCACTAATGATTGTTTGTCTAGTATTTGTGTTTTCATATTTATTGTAGACAAATAACGTAGTTGGAGGATGGATGGAATAGAGCTTCAACGATCATATCCAAAGGAGGTTGGCGGAATGTCGGTGAAGCCTTGCTATTCATAGTTCAAGATCCAAGTTAAAGCTTCATCCGCGAGATTACCAAGTCAAACTTATTGAAGATCAAGATCATTGCTTGGGTAATTTAGTTTAGGAATTTATATTATGTGTGTTAGTACTTTAAGCTCAATCATATACACACATACACGTTTTGGATTTTGTATATATATAGTTATATATATACATATATGTTTTGGTTTGATAGTTTTCAAGTTTTACTATGAAACAAATGAATAGAATTGGAAAATACTATTTTGTTTCATGTTTATATGCCTATATATGATTTCCCCTTTAACAAGCTTATATTTAATGAAATCATATTTAGTGTTTTGAATATATTTGCATAGAATATGCAATTTTATGAAAATATTGCATTTCTAGGTTATACTGGAATGTCAGTTTTCGGTCGACCGGTACGGTCGACCGGTCAATTGACCATTCGTTAGTATTTTTCCAGAGAGTCATCGGTCGACCGGTCCGGTCGACCGAGAGCTCAAATCGGTCGACCGACAGAATTTCCGGTCGACCGACGATGGTCCAGAAAGTTTTCTTCGTGTTTTTGCTCTCATCGGTCGACCGACGGGATTTTCGGTCGACCGACAATATGACCGTTGTCTTTTAACGGCTCTTTCTCTGAGCTGTTTGCTGGGGTTTTTGGTCATTTTGTTTTGAGGATTTTTGCTGAGATTTCTAGTGGGTATATATACCCCATTGCTGATGTCTTTTCAAATTGATTTAGAGAGTTTTAAAAACAAGTTTAAGAAAGTTTTAATCAAGGGTTTATGTTTGGTTTAAGTGTGTTTATATTTTTGAGGATTTTTGCTGAGATTTCTAGTGGGTATATATACCCCATTGCTGATGTCTTTTCAAATTGATTTAGAGAGTTTTAAAAACAAGTTTAAGAAAGTTTTAATCAAGGGTTTATGTTTGGTTTAAGTGTGTTTATAAGCTTTTAAGCATTTGAGTGTTTTGGTTTTGTGAATCACTTCCACAAGAGCTTGAGGAGATCATCTATTGATTTTATTTTACTCACTGTTACACACACCCACATTGAGCTTATTGTATCTTTCATACATAGTATAGTTGGGTGGTGAGAGATTGTAACTTTGAGTTGTGCTTTCATTGTGTTCTCATCTATTGTAGAGAACAAATTTATATTTGTTAATACACTTGTACACCGAGAGAAGTGTGTGGTGAGAGACGGGGTCGAATCCAAGAGGAGTGGCGTCGGTTGACGTGCCTAGGGAGAGGTTGTAACCGAGCACTTGAGGAGGAGGACACGGGCTAGGACCAACACTTAGTGTGTGAGGTGTGATTACATAGTGATTGTATTGTAAGGTGTAAACGTTGTTCGGGTGAACGTAGAAAACCCGGTTGTGATAGTGGAGATCTCCTCGAGGTGAGGAGCGGGGACGTAGGTCGTGGGGACCGAACCTCGTAAACATATCGTTTTGTTTGTGATTGCATTGGGCGGAGACGTAGGACGGAAGGTCCGAACTCCGTGATCATATCTTGTGTTTGAGTGTGCTTTGGCGTTTATTTATACTTGTGTTTATATTTCTTATCGCCATTGTCATTAGCTCATTATTTATATCATCCACTTTAGATTGTTTACCCCTTGTGTTGTTTATATATTCTTGCATATATACTTTGCTATATATCTCTTTGCTAGGATATATCATATTGTATATTGCTTATCCTAGCTCATATATATTATTGCATTTTATACTTGCTAGGATAACTTGTTAATTAGTTTTAATTGGCATTTAATCGGATTAGATTAGCATAAGACCCTAATCACCCCCCCTCTAGGGTCTAACAATTGGTATCAGAGCTTGGGCTCTTTAATTTAAAGGTTTAACCGCCTTGAGTTAAAGATCCAAGTTATCTTATTTGTGCTAATCTAGTTATGATTACATTAGTCTTGCTTGCATATTTTCACATATACATCATGAATATGAATATATTTCGTTTAGGCTATGAATCAAATATTGCTCCTAAATTCATTAATTTCCCTTATGCACAATGGGCTTCTAGATTTAAACTATTTGTTGAATCTAGAAATATCGACTTATGGGAAGTTATTGATTATGCTTATATTGTGCCCACTTTGGAGATATCCAAGTGGAGCAATCATGATAAGAAAATGTTTTCAATGAACAAGCTTTTGTTAGAATATTTGCTTAATGCCTTTGACTCATCATTTTCTAACAAATTTGTTCATTTTGATAGTGCTTACAATTTATGGAAATTCATAGAAGCACATCAAGGCAACTTGGAGGAAATCCGACGTAGTTTGGAGGATTGTTCTTCAAGTGAGTGTGGAGCATCATCATGCACACGGCCACTAGGCGATAGCCCTAGTGTGGTAAGCGATTCGGAATCCGAAAGTGATATATCCATCAATGAACTCGCTTGTGCATATGAGAAATTATTGCATGCCTATACAAAATTACAAAATAATTTTATTGATCTTAAAAGCAAGCATGTAGAATTGAAATCCGATCATGAGAAGCTAGTGTCCAAATTTGACATCATTGAAAATGAAAATATAATGCTTAAAGAAAACAATGATACGTTAAATTTGGAAAACGAAAAATTGACCTCATCCATTTCTAGCTTAAATCATGCAAATGATGCCATGCTAGAAGTAGAATGCATTAGAAATGAATTTGATTCTTTTAAGAACAACCATACATGCTCTACTTCTATTATCAATGATGTTGTATCTAATGATAAGTTGAATCATGTGAAAAACCGCATATCTTGTTTAGATTCAACCTTAAACACATGCATTGATAATCATAACAAGCTTATGGACTTGTGTGCAAAGTCTAATGCAAACTCTTCTAGGAAACCTACACACTATGCACACATGTATAACAAAGTCTATAAATGCACTAATTGCGGTCGTAAAGGCCACCTTGCTAGATTTTGTTATAATGCACAAAAACCCATCAAGCTTAATCATGTTTGTGCATCCCATCAAACTTCATCATCACACTCACATGTACACACACGTATAGATCATCATAAACATGCCCATATGTACAAATGTGAGTTTTGTGGTCGTTTTGGTCATTTGACCGAATATTGTTTTGATTTGAAAAGAAAATCACGTTTGCCAAATGTTTCTAGTAGACCACAAGTGTTTGAATGTGATATTTGTGGTAGATTTGGTCATTTGGCTAAGTTTTGTTATGATTTGAAAAAATATTCAAACTTGCCAAATTTCTCAAGTAAACCACCTTTGTTTAATAAGGTTTCTCATTTGCAAAATAAATTTAAAAGACAATCTTTAGTTGCAAATGATTTTCGTGCACGCTCACTTGGTCAACACAAATCTTTTCACTCAGGTAGTAGATGCCTTGCTCATGGCCAGCATCGTCATTATGTGCTAAGAGGGCACCAAGAGAATGCTCCACTACCCGTACATAGATTAGGAAGGGTTTCCCCGAAACTAGGGCTGCCAAGAGAATGCTTCACTGCTCGTACATAGATCAGGAAGGGTTTCCCCAAAACTGGGGCTGCCTAGACCGGCGGATTCGAGAGATAAGTCCTAATCTCATTGAACGCTTGTTGGCAAGGCTCATCCATACGAAGGAAACTCCTTTCTTCATCACCTTGGAGAAGGGTTGGCATTTACCTGAGAGATTCGAGATGAATCTTTGGATGTAGGCCAGAAGCCCTTGTAGTCCTCTCAATTCCTTTAGATTCCTAGGTGGTTGAAGTTCTTGAATAGCTTGAACCTTGTCGGGGTCTATATGAATTACCTTCATCGTGATGACAAATCTAAGGAATTTTCCAGTCGTCATCCCCAAAAATGACTTCGTGGGGTTCATCTTGAGTTGATGGGATCGCATCAGCTCGAACATCATTCTCAGGTCTTGGAGATGATCTTCTTTGTCGCGACTCTTCACAACGAAGTCATCTACGTAGCATTTGACTATCTTTCGTAGATGATCCCGGAAAATTATGCTTATGGCATGCTGATAGGTCGCACCGGCATTCTTAAGTCCAAAGGGTATAACTGTGTAATAGTATACCCCTACCAGAATTCTGAACAAAGTGTACTTCTCGTCTTCAGGATGCATCTTGATTTGATTATACCGCAAGAACCCGTCCATGAAGGACATCCTTTTGAAACCACATATGTTGTCAATGATGACGTCCATGATGGGTAG